TCGAAGGGCCCGATATACCTCGGCGACAGCTTTCCCCACTTTTCGAACTTGACCACTCCCCTCTTAGGCATCATCTTTAAGAAGACATGATCTCCGACCTCGAACTTCAGAGGTCGTCGCCGTCTGTCGGCGTAGCTCTTCTACCGGCTCTGAGCCGTGATAAGACGTTTTTGTATCAAATTCACCTTCTCCAAAGTGTTTCTAATCAAATTCGGACCCGTGGAAGGTCTCTCTCTAACCTTGGTCCAGCAAATCGGAGAACGGCACGGCCTCCCATAAAGTGCCTCATAGGGTGCTATCTGTATACTTGCCTGAAAATTGTTGTTGTAAGCGAACTCTACTAATGGTAAATACTCCTCCCAGCCACCCTTGAAATCAAGGACGCATGCCCGTAGCATGTCCTCTAAGGTCTGGATAGTCCTTTCTGACTGACCGTCCGTCTGCGGATGAAAAGCGGTACTTATCATCAACTGTGTTCCCATGGCCCGCTAAAAAATCTCCCAAAAATGGGCCGTGAACCTAGGGTCCCGATCTGATACTATAGATACGGGCACCCCATGTAATCGAACTATCTCTCGTATATACAGTCTACAAAAATCCTCCAATGTGAAGGTCATCCGTACTGCAAAAAAGTGTGCTGACTTTGTAAGCCGGTCCACTATCACCCATACTGCGTCATGCCCTCACGATGTTTCATGGCAAGTGAGTCACAAAATCCATCGTGACGTGCTCCCACTTTCACTCAGCCACCTCCAAAGGTTGGAGCAACCATGTTGGTCTCTAGTGTTCAGCCTTGACCTGCTGACATGTGAGACATCGACTAACAAAATCTCCAACGTGCTTCTTCATCCCATTCCAATAGTATTGACGACGAAGATCATGGTACATCTTTGTACTATCTGGATGCACAGCAAAATGGGAGCAATGAAACTCCCTAAGGATCTCCTCTCTCAGATCTACAGACTGGGGAACCATAACCCTTCTCCTGAATCGAAGACTACCATCCGCGTGAATGACCCAGCCCTCGTCATCTGTACCCGACTGTACGCCATCCCTAATAGACAATATCTCTGTATCCTGACCCTGGGGCTCGATCACTCTACTTAGTAGGGAAGGCGTAGCCACTAGACTCCACAAAGTGCCATGAGTCTGACCTTTGTAGTATAGCCTGAACTGTCCAACAGTCTCAAGCATCAGCCACTCCTAAGAAGCTATACTGGCCAAAGCTCCCCGTGACTTCCGACTCAATGCATCAGCCACCACATTTGCCTTACCGGGATGGTAATGCAAAGTGAAGTCATACTCCTCTAGGTATTCCATCCACCTGTGTTGTCTCATATTGAGGTCCCGCTGCGTGAAGATGTACTTCAGACTTTTATGGTCCAAAAATACCTCAAATTATTCTTCATATAGATAGTGACGCCATGCCTTCAAGGCAAAGACAATAGTCGCTAACTCCAAGTCATGTGTGGGGTAGTTTTGCTCGTGGCTCTTCAACTGCCTAGAACCATAAGCTACCACCCTCCCAGACTACATCAAAACACACCCAAGTCCGTCTTTGGAGGCATCACAATACACTGTGTACCTCTGTCCCCTCTCCGAAACTATCAAAATCAGAGCTGAAGTAAGTCTCTTCTTTAACTCTTAATAAAATGCTCTCTTACACGATTCATTCCACTGGAACTTGACCTCTTTCCAGGTCAACCTGGTCATAGGTGCGGCTAGTCGAGAGAAGTCCTCGATGAACCTTCGGTAGTACCCTGCCAATCCCAAGAAACTACGTATCTCGAAGACTGACTTCAACCTCTCCCAACTCATAACTGCCTCAACCTTCTCCAGATCAACTGACACACCCGATGCCGACACTACGTGTCTCAAAAACTTTACCTCTGTAAGCCAAAATTCACACTTGCTGAACTTGACATATAATTGGTGATTTCTCAAGGTCTGGAGAACAACCCTCAAGTGACCCTCATGCTCATCCTCAGACTTGGAGTAGATCAGTATGTCATCAACAAAGACCACAACGAACTGATCTAGGTAGGCCTGAAACACCCTATGCATGAGATCCATGAATGCTGCTGGGACATTCGTTAATCCGAATGGCATCACAATGAATTCAAAATGCCCATAATGCGTTCGAAATGTCATCTTTGAAATGTCGGCATCCCTAATCCTCAACTAATGGTACCCCATGCGTAGATCTATCTTGGAATAAACCCGTGCCCCTCTCAGCTGGTCAAACAAGTCATCAATACGTGGCAAAGGATACCTATTCTTGATAGTGACCCTATTCAATTGTCGGTAGTCAATGTAGAGCCTAAGCGTCCTATCCTTCTTCTTGGCAAATAGTACAGAGCACCCCAAGGTGAAGTACTCGGCCTAATACAGCCTCTGTCCAATAACTCTTATAATTGGACTTTAAGTTCCTGCAACTCTGCTGGCGCCATCCTATGTGGTGTCATAGAAATAAGGGATACACCAGGCTGTAACTTTATAGTGAAATCTACCTCCCGATGCGGTGGCAACCCTGGTAACTCATTTGGGAAAACATCCACATGGTCACACACGACTCGAGGCAGACCCAATTCTTGTCTCTCCTCGTCCTCCAGTGTAAGGCTAGCAAGCCAACCTATTAACTGCCTGAGCCATCGGGAGTCATACATGGCATGGGATAAGACATTGTGTTTCTCCCCCTGAAACTTGAAACAAATCCCGTCTGAAGTGTAAGTTATAACCCTCTTGCACTCGCGATCAATGACGACTTTATGTGCCGCCAACCAATCCATCCCGAGTATGACATCGAACTCAGTCATCTCGATGACCCTAAGGTCAACGGTAAGTTGGGTTCCTTTGATCTCCAACTCACAACCCCGACATATCTTGTCAATACAAACTCTGTCTCCTAGGGGTGAACTCACATACATGGGCTTCTCCAGAGTCTCGATCTCTATGCCCAAGTCTCGTAGGCATGATATAGCAATAAAAAAATATGATGCACCAGAATCAAATAATATTTTAGTCCATAATTTAGAGAGAAAAAATGTACCCTGAATTACTGACTGATCTGCCGGTAAAGTCTGTGGTGTGATGGCGAAGACTCGCCCCTGGGTCCCTGAAGTCCCGGCCTGAAAGCCCTGTCCCCGGTCTCGGCCCATGCCCTCGCCTGACTGCGAAGTCCCCGCTCATGAAGTGGTAGGGGCCTGTGCCTTACCCTGAAACTGCAACTGATTTTCCTATCCCCTGGTGGGTAGGGAGAAATGAAGTAGGTCTATGGATGCCCCACTGAAGACTGGGACTGAGTTGCCCCGTAGCTCTGTGATCCCTGCCTCTGAGGACACTATCTCTTCAAGTGGTCTGGTTGGTGGCAATAGTAGCATATCTGTGGGGCTCCCTGTTGTGTCCCCCTGGAATTCCTCCCACCTTGGGAAGATTGACCATGACCTTGGCCTTGACCCTGATAGCCTCGACCCTGTCCCTGTGATCCCTGTGGGGTAGAAATCCTTTGTCTCTTCCCCAAGCTAGTAGTGGAGGACTGTCCCTCCTTCTTCCTGTCCTTTGATCCAGCCTCCTGAATACTCTTGGCATCTTCCACCTCACTCTCTATAGTCATGGCTGTCTTGACCATCTCATCAAAGTCGTGCAACCTGTGGCCAACAATCTTTCCACGGATGGATAGCTTTACGTCATTTTCAAATCTTCGCACCTTGGTCAAATCAGTAGCCACGTAGTCATCCGCAAAACGTGTCAATTCTGTGAACTTGGTCACGTACTGCATAACCGTCATTGCTCCTTGCTTCAAGTTTAGAAATTCGTGGGCTTTGACTTCTCGAATAGCTGGTGGAAAATATTTCTTCATTAAGAGCTCTTGAAACTCTCCCCATGTCATCCTTCCGATGTCTATCGGCTTTGCCCATGTCCACCATTGATGGGCGTCTCCCTCAAACTGGAAAGTGGTAAATCGTATCTTCGTGGCATCAAATGCAATCTCCATTGTCTCCAAAATTTTGTCTATCTGTTGGAACCAATTGTCAACTACCATCGGATCCCCTCCTCCTACAAAAGTTGGTGGGTTGTGAGACCTAAACTTCTGGTGGTTGTTCGAACCTCCTAGGCCTACATTAGAATTGACTTGCAAAAAGGTGGCGGTCATCGCGCCCGTAGCCTCCATAAAGGCTTGTTGATCAAAAATCGGTAGTGGTGGTTGATTGTTTCGTCTACCCCCGACGTCCCCTTCCTCTTGTTGCCATCTACACACACATAAGATAGCAATAGACCAATAACTTAGTATCCCAAAATTAGGGATCAAAGTTAAAATAATAGAATATATATCTACCGATAAATGTGCAAACAATAGGCTTACACATCCTTTTCCTTCCCGACTCTAAGGTTATGTCTTCTAACCGTAGTGCCTCATTCCTATATACATTTAATCATACATATAATCTCATAACACATAACATACAAAATTTAATACATTTAACATGCAATGCAAACTGAATACAATGACTTAAACCCATGCCCTGTAAGCCCTAGGTAAATCGTAAACCTAGGCAAACACTCACCTTTCTCTCTCTCACTCTTTGTCTCGCCGTCTCTCCACAACAAAACCAAAAAGTGAAAGATAAAGTCTTTCACTTATCTATATATATATATTATAAATTTATTGTTATTATTTTTTGAAATTTATATTTTTGACCAATAATTTAACAATTAATTATTATTTTACTCCTTTAATTAAGATTTTTTTAATAATAATAATAATTTTTTTTTCTGTTTTACAAATTCTGTAAAAAACTTTTGGGTGGTCGAATCTTTCGTTAATTAAGTTTGTTTTGCTTGAATTTCTACCCTGTTGGTGAACTTTATGGTAACTTTCTTCGTATTGATTTTCTTACCACCTGCTTTTAAAATTTTCCATTTACAACCTGCTTTCATGACCTGATGCTTGTTTGGTTATATGTGTCCCAGTGGATGCTCTCCAACAAATTATCAATACAATGGGTGCAACATATTGGAAGTTCAATGCCGATTCTTGCAAAGTTGAAATGGTCGGTATGACACCACAGGCACCAAAGGAATCCGAGGGTGATGTTGTTTGCGCCGATTGTAACTTCAACAACACTCTCTGTCACATCGTAAAGATGTATAGATTCTGAATTTCTCAGTAGTTTCTTGATCTTATTACAAAATATCTTGCTTTAACTTTTCCTTGAAGTCATGTTATTTGGGATTCTGTGGCTTGTGATCATGGAGCATGTTGTGTGTAACATCTTCACTTTTGTAGAAAAAAAACTTTATAGTTGTGGTCCTTGTGGACCATATTGCAAAAAGATTATGACCTATAAACAACCTCAGAAGGGGTTAGAATATCATGGATGAAATTTTTTTTTTTTTTAAAGAGATGAGACTGTAATGTAGAAGGTAGGTCTATTCTTGCAAAGGTTTCCTCTTCGCTCTGGCCAAGTGGATGATTCTTTTATCCCATATAGATTCATAGCTTACAGCTTCCTGAACTATTCAATTGAAAATGAAATGTCATTGATTTTAGTGATTTAAGGCTGTTGGGAAAGTGATTCATTATGTTGTAATAAGTTGGATGCTATCTTATTTGTTATGCTATTCAGCTTTCTTGCTGCATCATAATAAAATTTTATTATTACTAATATGATTTTCTCATAGCAACTGCCTCTAGACTTGACAATTGAATTAAGTTTTGCTCTCATGCAGTGTCCTTAAGCGTTATAGTCTTCCTGGTGTTCTTCCCCCTGAACTTGTGAAGCTTCCAAACCTCCGAGAAATGTAAGAGGCTTTTCTAATGCCAAATTCCCATTCGATATTAAAAAAGTTGACACTTGAATACAAATTGTATTTTGGATTCAATTTTTCTTTGTCTCACTTGTAGTGATTTTGCTTACAATTACCTCAGTGGTACAATACCACTTGAATGGGCTTCAACGCAGTTGACTTTTATGTATGTCTCTCTCTCCCTCTACCTTTTATATAAAATCTCAGTGGTTATGCTTTTTTATTCTGAAAAGCTAACCCCAAAATTGTCGATGCAGCTCTGTCCTTGCAAATCGCTTATCAGGGGAAATCCCAAAGGAATTGGGGGAGATTACTAGTCTCACATACCTGTAGGTCCTCAATTTGGTTTTGCGAGTTTTTTTTTGGATAATTGGTGTGGTCCATTTTTTATTCTTTTGAAGATGCATTTAGTGGTGATTGAAGTCTATGTACTTGGGTGAAATGTTCAAAAGTAATGACTGGAACTGCACCTGAGCAACTTATTTCACAATATGTTTTTATTTCTCTTGAAACTGAGATGAAAGACTGTAGGGTTTACTTTACTGGTGATTTCAGAGATGTAGTAAGAAATTCTATGCTGCCATTTTTAGTAATTCCATTGGATGTTCTTAAGCAGGAACCTTGAAGCCAACCAATTTTTGGGTACTGTTCCTTCGGAGCTTGGGAAGTTGGTCAACTTAGATACTCTGTAAGACCTCCCTTTTCTTCTCCACTACGTGCTTTACTTCCTCTTAAAAATTTGTGAAGGATGAAAGTAACCCAATTTTCTTTGCTCTGAAACTTGATATTGCAATTCCAGAATGTTGTCCTCCAATCTGTTGACAGGAAAATTGCCAACAACATTTGCTGAACTAAGAAACTTATCAAATTTGTAAGCAATTAGATGTTCTTCTTTGAATTTATTTTCGGTCCTGTTGATAGTAACAGTCAAGCACCATTTTCTTGCACCATGCAGTAGGATAAATGACAACAACTTCAGCGGACCAATCCCTGATTTTATACAGAATTGGAAAAAGCTAGAAAGATTGTAAGATTCTTGTCGATGGAAAAATGTCTTTTGATAACTTCTATATTTCAATACTAATGTAAGTCAAATGTGTTAATGAAGAGAAATGCATTCAAGTGGACTGGAGGGACCCATCCCTTCAGACTTATCACTTCTGGATAAAGTGATTGAATTGTGAGTATAAAATATCCTCAAATCAATGAGGTCACTTTCATGCTTTCTCTATTTGGTTTCTTTTTCCTTTTGAAGGAATTTGCTTTTGCTCATAGTGGAATCTTTTTAAACAGGAGGATTAGTGACATAAAAGGGCCAACTCAAGGTTTTCCTATGCTGAGTAGCAATACTACAGGCATAGTAAGATTGTATGTGAAGTGATTATGGAAAAATTTTAGGCATGCAGATTGTGAATTGGATCATATGTTCTTTAATCTCTTCATTCTTGAATTTAGGGTATTTAGAAACTGCAACATTTCTGGAGAAATTCCTCCATATATTTGGGGAATGAGGAGTCTGCAAATGTTGTAAGTAATGCATTTAAAGTTTTAGTGATTTACTTATCTTGTTATTTGCATCGATTTTGATCAACTACATGAAGGCAATGATCGCTTGGTCTAAGTGTTAAATGATAAGGCAACTGGATAGTAAAATAAGTATCTACCTCATCATTGTCCCTAGTCCTTAGACCTTAGTCATTGATTATCTGGACCTTCAACTTATTTCGAAGAAGCTCAATTGTTGCCTTATCGAATCCTTTTGAAAATATTTGCTTCTTGATTTTCATCATGTTTGAGAGGAAAATTGGGAAAAAATGTTGGTTGCAGGAGAAATCGTAGATGAATTAACAAAGACATCTGTGGCCATGCCAACTACGTGGGTCCCAGCCTTCAACACACACACACAATTTTGAAAAAATGATTAAATGAGATCTAGACACTTGGACAGGGTAACAGTCATTCACCTCTCTAGATCAAAAATCTTTGATACCTCCAAATGTTCCATCTTGTATCTATCAGTCAAATGAATGATAGTGCACCTGCTAATGTCTTTTTGCGGTAATCAATTGCTGGAATAATCAATTTACAACAAACGGAATTGGTTATGTTCACCTATCAAAGAAAGCTTTTTCTTTTCCTGTTGTTATTAGCCATTCCCTTCTACGGAGAAAGTACATCCAGAGTTTTTTGGTAATGGCAGATGGCAACAAAGTGGAAAGCTCCTTCTTTAATTTGAGGAGGGAGCTGAAATCAGGATTTTCATTGAACATTCTGAATGTGATTGTTCTGATTGCGTAACTGGATTTACCTTAAAAAACTGATAATTGGATTGATTGGGGTAATAGTGGTTCATGGAACTACATAAAACATTGAAGAGGTGTTGATGTATCAAGAAGTATGAACACAACCAGTTGTAGAATCCCTAGTCGGCCAATTCCCATTTGCATTTTCGGGGAACATGGTTATGCTCACCTTGGGTCATTTAGTTCAGATTATAGGCCACCTAAGTTCTCTCTGGTTCTCTTGAATATTTGGTTTTCGACTGCCTGTGCCAATTCAGTTTTTTTTTTCCCTTTGTGTTTTCATTGTTTTTGCTTTTTCTCAGGAGTTCTCACTAGACACCACTCTAGTTTAGTTATTCTCTTGTCTATAATGTGCCTGTCTTCCAGTTACATTTGGGCAATGATTTGTAAGAAACACTCGACTGTTAAATAGACTTCATGTTATGGACTCTTGGGATTTTTGTTTGCCATATCTTATTAACTTGTTCATTCATGTCTTGTTTCATCAGAGATCTCAGTTTTAACAGGTTGGTTGGGCGAATTCCAAATGACATTAGTGCGAGGAGTCTGAAATTTGTGTAAGTATAGAACCAAAAATTTATGCAGCGTTTAGTGATGTTTTGAATAATTAATTGCAAGAAAAATCTTTAACCAAACAAGTCAATGTTGTCTCTAGAAATACTTGTAACTTTCTACTAAACTAGTTATGGTTGTTTTGTTTAGGTGGTCAAATGGTCTTGTCCTAGTATATGGCATGATGATTACATGATGTTGCTTTGAGCAGGTTTTTAACTGGCAACATGTTAAGTGGAAATGTACCTGTTTCAATTCTGAAGGATGGAAGTAGTATGTAAGTTGCAATCTGGAATGTGGTTTTTTTTTTTAACCAAATGATTGTCCCTTATTTGAGTGTGTGAGTTCATGCTACTAGTTGGGTGGATGCATTTATGGCTGTGATATTTGCCACCTGCTTTTTGCTGCATTTCCATAGACTAGTTGGTGCACACGTATGTTACACGTGGATCAATATTGTGAATTATAGTCTTGGTTTTTTTTTTTCTTAACAATTATTTTCGTATCATAACCTTACAGTTATACACAAGTATATTGATGCAATATTTATGCAACAAAATAATAAAATGTAATAATTGGCTAATCTGATTTCATATTCTACAAAGGTAAAAAAATCACTTTGGAAAAGCCATTGATTATTGTGGTCTATATTTAGATGATGTAGAAATTTATTTTGTACACAAAAATTTCGTCTTTTTGATATACAAAAAATTATTTTTTTTATCAAGGACAATATAATCGAAGCCTACATTTCCATGTTAGTGACTATTTCTCACTGCCAATTAAAACCGAAAAATTAAATTACCTTATTCGGAGTTATTTGTACTTTATACTTTATTTGGAATTATGGAAACTACCATCACAATTTGAAACAATAATGTCTAGAATTTGTAGAGTCTCAAAATAAGAAAATGAGAACATGAAGACAACTTATTTCTATGATCAAAAAATAACAGCTTTCCTACCACAATAATTTTACCCATTTTTGTATTTTACACATACCTTTCAATGCTTTAACTCAAATTGATTTCTTGGATGGCAATGATACGCACAAAACAACTTAATTCTTATCTTAGCTAGTAAGAAAATGGACATTAGATTTATAAAGCATTAGCCTGTATGACACTCATATAAATTAATAACGAAATCAAGCTTGAAAGAGAAAAAATTATTATTATGGTTGATTGAGATGTATGTAACCAAATTCATCCTCAAGGATATTGCCACTCTAAGCATATTCTCTGCCATGCCTTTGCCTTATGTATATGTACCACCCTTTTGCTACACAAAATCAGACTCTTGATGTAACAAAAAACTGAAATAATCATAATTTCTTTACAAAATCTATTCTTATTGATAAAATAAAAAAATCAATTCTCCCAAAAAAAGTATACCACATAATAGATTTGTACTTCTTTATTAATCATCCACAATTATTTGAAGTGCGCTCAAATATGAATGATCAAACAACGCCACCAGTAAAATAATATCAATCCAAAAATATACGAGTAAATTGAATCCATAAACCATATATTTCACTCAATTCGACGTTAAAACCAACAATTGATAACTATTTCAATCTCAAACTCACATGCCCAGCACACCAAAATCAACCAACCATTTCATTCTCCAAATGCCACATATATAAGAACAAACTCATATAACAACTCAAATGGTTTATAAAATTGTATTTCTTTTTTTTTTTTTTTTAGGATATATAACTTTTTCCTTAGACTCTTATTTTTCATATTTCATCACAATCTAATGCTGAATTATCCATGTGACTAAGCTTGAGGCAATTCCACCCTATAGGTGAAACCGTTAGAGAACCTTCCGCTAGCTCAATTGCTATAGATGAAACCAAAGTGCAACAAATTTAATGAGTATTTCAAGTTTTTATACGTGGTAAACATGGCTCAAAGAATTCTCCCCTATAAGATAAAATCTAGAAAGCAAAAATTATTCATCCCAATGCAAACGCCTAAGAACAAAACAAAAGAACAGATTCAAGATTTCCAAAGAATGTATTAAATTCCATCAAAGAAAACATCAAAGCATCCAATGAAGCAAGGAGATCACCTCATTTCAAAAGTACATATCTGAAAACAAAATAACAAAATGTTTTAGATAATCTTTTTTCAATTATCAAAGTCTTCCTGAGAGATACCTGAGGAGAGAAAGGGCAAGCCCTTGTGAATCATAGGCTATTTTTAACATAAAATAAAGACCCAAAGATTTCATGGAATTTACCTCTTAAATTATAATTACATAATTTATATATTAATTAGTTTTAGACATACTTCCTAGTCGCAGCCTACATGACCTGCATTCTAATTTTTTAGAGTCCTATGCACATCAATAGCTCTGATAATATGTAGCGAATTTCAATTGAGACAATACATACCCCCATGTAATCTTTTGGCAAGGCAGCAGGTAGAGTTTTGCTGCAAATTAGAGGACAAAATGTTGCAATAAATGACCCTCAAAGATTATAAATGATATCCAAATTTTATAAATGACTCAATTTTTATGAAAAAAAACCCACTAAACTTATAAACAACAGTAAGATAATGAAAAAAAAAAATTGGATACCGTAAAATTCTCTTACTCACAGACTCATTTCATTGTTCTTCATTTTATTCGAGCTACAAGCAGTCTCTCTCTCTCTCTCTCTCTCTCACCGCCGTAAACAATTCTTATCCATAGAACCATTTGTTTGATTTTGTCCCCTCCTCTGTTCTTCTTTTTCCTCATGCCATAGTCGTTCCTCTCTCTCTCTCTCTCTCTCTCCTCTCTCTCTCTCTGATTCTTCTTCCTCGCGGCTCTCACCATAAGCAGCTCCTACCCAAAAATCCATCAATTTTACCGTTGTGCATGAGTAGTAATGATGCTGCCACTGAATTATTCCTTTTCTTCTAATTTGTGACTGAAAATTAGAAGATTTTTGACAATCTCATTCCATAGAGGTGGCTTAAGAATTCGAAATTTGTTATGTATTCAATAATGGCTTAAGAATTCGAAATTTGTTTATATATTCAATCATCAATAAAAAATAAACAAAAGAACACAGATCTTAGCACAAACAAAAAATAACAGTACTTGTTGAAGTAGAATACCGCTCGTTCCGCAAGGTCAAGACCGACGATGTGTGTCTGAGAGAGAAAGAGACATTGCTGCTTGCACCATTAATTCATAGAATCTATAGAGCCACAAAGATGAGTAGTTTCTCATCACAAGAGAGAAGCAAGGAGACACATTTGTGAGAAGTTATGCACCAATGACAGAAGGAGGTGAACTCAGCCAAATGCTTTTACTATTAAATGAAAGAGAGATGAACGGGTACCGTTGTGGACCTCAAACTCCAAACGCCAAATGCAGGTAGCAACAATAGAATTGGTTTAAATGACCTAATTAAATATGGAGGATAAGTCTGGTATAATTGTAGTATTGAAGGGTAAAAATTGAAAAAAATTGTTTTTCATAGATGCTGATATTTTAAAATAGTATAGATATTTTCCTGAATGAATTTTCGTTCCAGTGCAAAAACTCGGGCTAGTGTGAAGTATCACTGCCTCGCATGTATGGGGGAATTTTGAATCTCTTTCACATAAATATACCTCATTGGTGGTTCTCATCATTATCAATATCCTTCAAAGAACCTAAATGCTTGACATTTTTTTTTTGTATTTGTAATCCCTGATATTATTATCATTATCATGCTTGATATGTAATATTTATGATCGAACACCTGCAGTGATCTTTCCTATAATAATTTCACATGGCAAGGACCCGAGCAACCCGCTTGTCGACCAAACATGTCAGAATATTTTTTTTTGGTCTTCTTTTTCCTTCATTTTTTGTTTCCCTCCTACATGCTTCTCATTTAAATGGTTTGTAGCAGTGATAGTTATTAGCTCTGTTGCCGTGTTTTTAGGAACCTATACATAAACATGTATAGAAGCTCTTCAACAGGCGACATTCTGTAAGATGAATTTTTTTCCTTAAATTAAACGTTTTAAGTTTTTTATCTCACTGAAGGGAGAGCAAAGTTTCACACTAAATATGGCTATTTTCCTACTTAATGCACGTTTGATTCTAATTGTTTTATACTTAATCTGCAACAGAAGGGATAGTCGTCCATGTATGACGGATGTCGACTGCCCAAGATGTACGTATGTTCTTTTTTCTTCTTTTCTTGAACAAAATAACTTTTTGGGGAAAGGAAGGAAGGTTGACACACTCATTATGGATTCTTCTTCAAATGTAATGGAAAAAAAATCTTGAGCTGTCTTTCCCTACAACTCATTATATAGACCCTCCTTTGGCTTCATTTTGCCATTTCATTTTAAATAGCCTTGTAATCATTTTTCAAATTAAAGAAAATTCCTAAGCAGAGATTTAAAAAATTGGCATTAACGGTCCATTGGGAACAAATACCCTTTCATGGAAAGGTCATTAAAATACTTGGTGAATTTGGTAACATTCATATGTGCCCATAATGAGTATTAATTTACGTTATTGGCATAGATGTGCAGTTATGTCATAATCTTATGTTAAATATGATGGTGCTTGCATAATTGCACAACTCTATTTCATCTATGGCAGATGGATGTTCTTTACATGTTAATTGTGGTGGAAACGATGTAAGGCTCAAAGAAGGTAAAGACAACGTTGAGTATGACGGAGATGCAGCAGTTGAAGGTGGTGGTAGTTCAAGATATTATGTCAGTCATAATTATTGGGGATTTAGTAGCACTGGGGACTTCATGGACGATGATAATTTCCAAAACACACGTTTCATCGAGAACACACCCGCAACTGGCATCTCTGAATTGTATAGTACGGCACGCGTTTCTCCTATTTCACTTACCTATTTCCGCTATTGCATGGAGAATGGAGATTACACCATAACTCTGCGCTATGCGGAAATACTTTTTACGAATGACAGTGCATATACCAGTCTTGGGAGGCGGATTTTTGATATCTATATTCAGGTAATGTTTTTTATATGAATGAGCATATGTAAATTCTTGTTAAGCCCTAAAACTTTTTAAGAGAACCTTTTTATATCTCAGGAAAAATTAGTTTGGAAGGATTTCAGTATTGAACATGAAGCTGGGGGGTTTCAAAGCCAGTAGATAGACAATACAATGCCAGTGTGACAAATTATTTCTTAGAGATCAGATTTCATTGGTCTGGCAAAGGGACTACTCGCATTCCTAATAGAGGAGAGTATGGTCCACTTATATCAGCTATTTCGGTTAATCCGAGTAAGTATTTTGTTTTTTTTTTAAAATTGTTCCCTCGTACATAAAGATGTTATTATTTTAAGACACACATATATCCAGCATTACTTAAAGAGAATCTAGCATGTCACTCATATTTTCGCCTGTGATTATGGAACAAAGTACCCGACCCCTTTATCCTGCCCCAAAAACTTAAAGCCCATAAAGCATTCTAAACTGACAAAGTACACTCTTTTTTTGGATCTACATTCTTATCTGGAGTGAATGCAATATCGTTACATTGTTTCAAGGGTGAAAAAGAAGCCTACATTTTATTTGCAAGCATGGTGTTTAGGATATTCTCGACTTTGTCTGGATGCAAGGGTATATTCATCATTTCGTGTCACAACTTGACCCAGTCGTGATATTGTCACAGCTTTGAAACACGCCATAGCAGTTTAGGATGAGGTTCTACATAAATAGCCCAACAACCTTTTCTACCCAAGCAGTGTTGGACAAGCATATGGAGCATATGGAGACACCTCTACCTCAACTCAACTATCTTGGCCCTCTGCCTCAAGGGTAGTGGCCCGTTGGCCTGTTGGCTACAACACTTCATGCTTTTCCAAAGCAGATTAAACATGTGCTACACAACCTCTGGTCACACGTGACTATAATCTTTTAAATGTAACTTTGGCTACTTCTTGTTATGCTGTTCTTGTTCATTCTACAATCAGCTGTACTAGTTAGGGCTGGTTCTGTTGAAAACTGAGAATGGAGATACCCATTGACCTGATAATTTGGTTTAGGGTTTTTGTGCACTCTTGGATCCAGAACTTCGATGGAGCATATCTAGGATGGACCCAAAACCGAATTTTAAAATGTTTGGTGACCTGAAGTAACTTGGATGGCTAAAAAGGTTGTCTGGACTAGTCCTAATGTAGCTTAGTGATTGAATAGATATAATCGGTTTTGAAGTTTGTCTTTTGGCATCTTTCATTTTGATTGATCCTTGGACCCACCATTTTGTCTCATTTTCCTTTATAATGCCAAGTTTAAAGGTTTAGAATCTCTGTGTAAGGCATGCCCATGTTTGCTTGCAAGCCATGCATGTTTTCCTTGACATTTATTCTACATAGCATATAACATGTATGAATGTGAGAAGTATGCCTAAGCTACCAAATGAATGTATTTTGGTCAAATTTCTTTTTCTTCAATTTCTGTTTTCTACTAGCATAATTTTTGGTTGGCTCTTTTGGGCAGCTTTCAAATCTTGTTCAAATGGTCGAAAGAAGAAGGTAACAGTTTATGTTACTGTTGGAGTTGTGGCATTATGTGCTATTTCCTTAGTACTCGGCATTCTTTGGTGGAAAGACTGTTTGAGAAGCAGAAAACAGAAAGGAAATGGTGAGCAGTGTATTAGTTGCTGAAAATTAGCTTTGATTCATATGCTCCAATTTGAGTATGTGCTAATCATACTCCCAAAATTTTATATCTGTATCAAAGATTTTATTTTGAAAGGTCTTGAGATCCGGAACTCTTACTGTTGAATTTCGACTGTTTGAGTAGTGACCTAATCTGTCACTATTGCAGCATTTATCATAAAATGCATGTGCAAGTGTCAAGACTGAATGTTATTTGAGACATTATGTCTCCTTATGGCATAGAGAAACTGGATATTGCAACTTAAATTAATATGTTGCACATTTGCGTTTTGACTGGATTTTTAGTGGAAGCATTGTTATCTCAAGATCTAAATTTTCTTTGAACAGATTTTGAAGGAATGGAGCTGCAAACGGTTTCTTTCACCCTAAAACAAATTAAAGCTGCTACTAACAACTTCGATCCTGCAAACAAGCTTGGAGAAGGTGGTTTTGGTCCCGTTTACAAGGTGTTCTAGCTAAAACCACTACTAATTCCCTCTTCCTTTTTATTTATGTATGGAATCTGAAGTGTAGATATGGTGCAGGGCCTATTATCTGATTGCACTGTAATTGCGGTGAAGCAGCTCTCCTCTAAATCAAGGCAAGGGAACCGTGAATTTTTGAATGAGATTGGCATGATTTCTTGTGTGCAGCATCCAAATCTTGTTAAGCTTCATGGATGTTGTATTGAAGGGGATCAATTGTTGCTTGTATATGAGTACATGGAAAACAACAGCCTTGCCAGTGCTTTGTTTGGTAACTTCTGTCATTTTCCTATGCCATACATTCTGTTTAAAAGTTACTGATCCATGCTTTTACATGTTAATAATAATGGCTTTAGCAATATTACTGTGTCGGGTAATGTTCAGGTTCTGCGAACAGTCAATTGATACTGGATTGGCCAACAAGGTCTAAGATCTGTGTTGGGATTGCTAGAGGTTTAGCGTTTCTCCATGAAGAATCGATATTCAAAATTGTTCACAGAGATATTAAAGCCACTAACGTGTTGCTTGATAGAGACCTAAACCCTAAAATTTCTGACTTTGGACTGGCTAGGCTCAATGAAGATGAAAATAGCCACATTAGCACTCGAGTCGCTGGAACAATGTGAGTTTCTTGTGCTCTTCTGGAAATTATTGAACTCTTTCTTCAGTTTGTGAGATTGTCATAGTTAATGTTCATGGTCTTCAGCATAGACAGGTAATTTATTGCTGAATTGTGTCATTTTAATATTGATTTGCAGAGGATATATGGCACCAGAATATGCACTATGGGGTTACTTGACCTACAAGGCAGATGTTTACAGCTTTGGGGTTGTGGTGTTGGAAATTGTTAGTGGGAAGAACAACAACAATTACATGCCAAGTAACACCTGTGTTTGTCTTTTAGATTGGGTACTCAGAAACTTCTTATCCCAATTCATTTTGTTGAACATCTGTTGACAAGATTCTAGCATTAGGCGGGGACCGGATTTCAACCCGAATTTGACCCGATTTTGTTTAAGCGATTATGGATCAGATTTTTTATCCATTAATCTGATCCGATCTGATCTGAATCTGATTAGACTTGTCTAAACGGATTCGGATATAGATTTATAATAATCCGATATGTTATTAATCTGATCCGAATAAAAAAATATATTATGTGAATAAATATCACACATATATTATACTTATACTGAAAAACAAGTAAAAATAGATTGAATATCACAATGTAAGATCTGTTTTTTTATTTTTCATTTTGTTTCCCTCTCTTGTTTGGTTTTCTCCTTTGCTTTCATTTCAATTTTTCATTTTCCCTCATTGTTTTAGTTCATTATCCAAATTCTTATTGTTAATTTTTTTTTGCGTACATATGTGTTTTTGTAATAATTAGATCAGATCAGATTTTTGGATCGGATATTCGAAAATTAATGGATTCGGATATAAATTGAAATTTTCAAATTCGTCAGATAACCAGATTGGCAAAAACTTATTCGAATTTGAATATATGACAATACGGCCTATGTTCGATCCGTTGATAGGCCTAGCAGGCATTGAACACCAACAATTTGTTTTTTTTGTTTTTGTGTGGAAGTTTTCAACAGTTGCAGTGTATTCATATTGCAGGCCTGTCACATGCAACAAAGTGGAAGCATAGATGAGATTATTGATCAGAGGTTGGGGTCTAAAGTTAACAAAGAAGAAGCAGAAAGGATGGTGAAAGTAGCACTCTTGTGTACAAATGCATCTCCATCACTCCGGCCTATTATGTCTGAAGTAGTCAGCATGCTTGAAGGACGAATGTCCATTCCAGATCTGATCCCAGAACCTAGTAGCTATACTGAAGATTTGAGATTTAAAGCCATGAGAGACTTTCGTCAAGAGAAGCAAACCCAAAATTTCAGTGGAACCCAAACCCAGAACTCAATGACGATCCAAACAGATGTGTGCACTTCATTTGCATCAACTACTGATAAATTTGAAATTAATCCAGATCCCAAATCCTATTGAAGATGGTTTGATGGTTTTTTTGTAGAATTTTTGGTTTGCAGTGGAGTACATATAGTTTTGTTTTCCCTCCAATGAGAGGTGTGTCAATCACCCCGGGATCAGGACTGTAGAAAGGCTATGTCTGCGATGCCCCAGCACACTCCTATCTGGCGTCTTCTTTTTCCTATTTGAACCCTTCCTGTGGACATTTGTCAAGGTGCCCAATATAGAAAACCCACGTCTTTTGGCTCTTCAGCAACCAATGCACATATCTTATTGTGTCATATGTTGATCCAAACCAATGACTTATCTTAGGAGTCCCTCTGGATCCCAATCAAATGGATGGTGAGCAATGTACTAAAAGATCTGCTTGAGTAGACTAAACCTTGTGACTATATCCAAGATCGAGGTTGACGATCATGCTCCTCTGCCTCCATTGCTTAGTTCTCTCTTGAGGAAGGTCATATTTGATAGAGTTATATACTAAAAGTTTATTTTTTGTAATGTAACTTAGTTTATTATTTAATAAAAAAAATTTGTTTCTTATTTCAATGAGAATATGTGTGGACAAAATATTTGTATTATATTAAATATATGACATGCATGTATGTCTTTTATTTTATATTGTAGATAATCTGGTGTGTAAAGCTTACAATCTTGATAGAATTGAATATACCATCAGTAGTATTGTAGTGTAATTTTTTGACATAGTTTATCTTAGCTATATGAAATTGTCTAATGTCTCAGATTATTGCACTAGTATAATTTGTGTATTGGACATGACCATTATTGAGATTATTTTTTTTTTACTGATTAAATAAGAAAATAAATATCTCATGATTATTATAGTTGTTTAAACTTTTGATTGTGAGATATTTAATTGACAGACACATATAATTCATAGATTTCATATTTGAGTCAACATATTCAGTGAATTGAAAGATGATATTATTTGTATGGTGGAAATTAATTATTAAAAAAAATCATGTCTCGGTATTTCAATGGGTTGATAATGTTTTTTTGAGGAAGTTCATAAGTTTTGTCCATGTTAAACTCTGTATGTGGATGTAATTATCCGACATGAAAAATAAGTTGAGTTATAAGATCTCAAGGATAAAAAGAAATCAATTAAATATAATTGTAAGTAATTTAATTAATTGACGAACATTTGTTATTTTTAAACATGAAGAGATTATTAAGTATTTAATAATGAAGAATTTGAAATATAATTTTGAAATAATGTCCAAGAGATCAATAATAACTTTTTAGTAGATTAAATTATTATTAATGGATCATATGATGTTTGTTCTATGTTGGACACAGGATTCCTAGACTTATTAGAAACTTGATCCTTATTTCTCCTTAAGGTCTTTTACTGTAACTTTTAAATAAATGCCCTTATTAATTCTCTCAGCCATAACCTTTATCTTCACATTTAGAAAGGCATAGAGAGCAAGGAGAGAATTCGGAAGATTGCAGGCCACACTGCATTTAGATTTTTGGCATGAAATGATATACGATAGAAGATCGTGAGGTCCATCGAGCATGCTGTTCAATCTGCATTTGTTCTTCGATTGTGTGGATCTACCCGTCAAAGGTAAAACCTAATTCCGCTTTATAGGGTTAATAAACGAGTAAAAATTTTATAATCTATTATATGAGTTGTCAATAAATCTTGGGACTGTTGTTCCAACAATACTACCATGTTCCTTGGTGAGGACCATCCTCTTAGTCCAGTAGCTGGGGCGACTTGATGTAAACAAAGGCTTAAGGCAAAACTTGTAAAAAAGGCTCTAGTAAGTTTAAATGTAATAGTACATATAATATTAAAGTCCAAAACTTTTTATCTATATAGATAAATTTATCGGTATCGTATCGAAATTCATTTCAACTGTTAATTTTCGGTTGAAAGATTGAAAAGTATTTATTGAAAAAATATAGAGTGATAAAAAAAAATTGGATTTTAATTTTATTTTTTTTGATGAAAAATGAAGGTGCAGTATACATTTTGGTCTCGTAACCGGATCCTATATTTTAAAACAAACTTAATTAACAAAAAATACCATTAAATAACCATATAATGGTTAAGGGTAAAATATAAATAATAGCACAAACTATTCAGGTGATTAGGCATCATATTGAGGTTAAAAATATCTAGTTATTTGCAAATAATTATTAAATTACATCCCTATTGTTAATAGCATTTTTCTTTTTGGAGGATCGGATTTTTTAACTCCAAAATCTAATGTATTGAGAGAGAGAGAGAGAGAGAGAGTGTGAGCATTTAAAAGGCAAGGCTTTTTTGTTACATCCGAGGATAATCGCTGCCCCTATACCACCTAAGGGCCCTAAAGAAGAAACCTATTAGTGGAATGTGGATTGAAACAGAATTTCTGGGCCCTATATTTCCTACACAGCTGGCTTAACAGACGCAAAATTGCTCATTGTTAAACTGGGCTGCAATATTTTTGGGCCCTTAAGTGTGGGGGCCTGGCGGCCACCTTGGTGGCTAATCCCTAGGGCAGGCCCTGTTCATTGGACCAATCGAGCAATGTTGTCTCGTAGGTTGCCGATGTCAATTTTGTTGGTTATGTAATCCCAACTTTGGGTCTTGTTTTCACAGTTGGGAAAGCGAGTTACACCAATGTTGCCCTTATACCTCCGTGGTGCTGCTCTTGTCCTTTTTTGGTCACGTGTCCATTTTGCACACTTTCAATGTGACGAGGATGTGATCCACTTTTTTTTTGTTGATGCTTTCTACGTGTTTGATCCTTTCTACGTGTCCACTGTTGTCATGTTAGTTGATGACTCTTTATCATTTATCTTTCTATAATGTGAACATATATCCTGAATTTATCAAGAACTACAAGCTCATAATCAAAACAAAACGAGACAAATTTTACCAAATTTATCACAAATTTGGGATGGTGCCCAACCTCAATCATGGCTTCATTGTGGCCATGGAACACTGTTCTCGTTGTTGATTGGGTTATAGAGGCGGTCATGGAACTGATCGCCTTTGCACCCCCAATCGACTACTTTTGTTGCTCTGTGGAGGACGGAGGCCTCGAGTAGAAGTTGGAGCTAATGGGTGCAAAAGAACTGAAAAAGAGAAAATTCAAAACTTCCACCTCAACTATCGATTATTGATTAGCATCGCCACCATGAGATAAGAGTGAAAGTGTCATTTCAAAAGATATAGAAAATATCTTATATTTAATACTGGTCATGCTTAAAGACATTACGTAACAAATAAAAAAATTGCAAGCAAATACATGTGCGTGAAAGAACTGTATGCCACAAAAAATTGCAAATTAGAAAACTAAGAAAAAGTATCGATCAATATAATATGGACCCATTATTTTTTTAAAAAAAAATATTGTTAGATTACAAATCAAAAAAAAAACATTCTCAAACATTGTTCAATGACCATTTAATTTTTGATATAGTACAAATTAGTGACTTATATCCAAATAGTGGTAAATCCAAAAATAATAATGGTATGAACACAATTAAATAAATATGAGATAGACAGCAAAGGGAAGAGGATTAAGAGATGAACTGCAACAAAAAAATATAATAAACAACATCAACAAAACCTAAATCAATTAAAACTATTTGTTTTAACACTCTACTTGGTTGAATTGCACTTTTTGTCCTTATATTATGTTGATAATTTAGAGAATGCTCATGCCGGCATATAGTTTTATCCTATAAATAATTTTTCTCTATTCTTCCAAACAATTCTTGCAACATTCCCTCTAAAAATAGGACCTCACAAAAATATGAAGATGTGCAAACCCTGTCAAGTAAAGATGATTTTTTCTTATATTGTACTCAAGCACGTTCGTGGAGAGATAGTATGTCATCAATGGACATTGTTCTTAATTACATTTTCATGATTAAATCCAGCTACTCTACCATTATGAAACCGAGAAACTAAATACATAAAGTTTGAGTCCCGTAAAGAATTCGAGCAAAATCTTATGCAAACACAACTATACATAATTATTACATATAAATGGACAAAGGGGTGAAGTAATGCTACCAAAAGAGAGATGTATCAGTCCCCAACAAATAGCATCTCTTCCTCTGTCTGATACAAACCCAAGAAACTTTTCCCTTCAACAAAAAAATTGTTTCCCTTGCCCCTCACCTAAATAAATAAGCACCAGTATGTATTGACTTTTTTTTGCTCTTTCAACCATTTCTTTTTCCTGCGATTAACGCACAGCAAACTCCAGTAACAAAAGTAGCCCTCATGAGCTTAAACCAAATGGGTAGTGGGTATACCAACATATGATGTGCAACAAAACTTAGATCCACACAAAAACAAAGGCAAAAAACACTTGTAGATTGCTAACTGGAAAGGAGGAGGTCACCCCTCACGTCGTGCCATTCCACTACAAAATCACATAAATGAAACTAAACAAAATATAAAAAAAAAAAACAAACCTTTCGATTATATAAGATATAACCATTTATCTTCACTATATAATTTTTAATACAACAGTAAGCACAATAAAATAAAACAAATTTAACCTTCTAACTATCCACCTGAATCGAACCCTAAGGCGTCAACGAAGTTGTGTTTCCCTGAAAATCACCATTTAAAAATCACAACATTATAAAACCAAACAAGTAGAAAAAAAAAGAAGAAAGGAGTAAACATTCAAATTTAATTTAAGCTAATTAACCTTCAAAATTCCCACATAGGTAACCGTCGATGATTTCATTGTAAAAAATCTTTCGGAGATATTCCACGAGGTCTTTGGCAAGATCTACAACTCAATTGGATTCATGATCATCTATTATTGTCAAAATGTAAAGAAAGATCAAATTATCAAAGTCGTTATTAAATAAAATCATAATGGTAAGCCTTGGACAAACAGTAAAGAAAAAAATGCACCAATTTTCCTTTTTTCACCACTTAAAGGTAAAATCAAAGCTCAAACTTCAACAGGGAGAAAGTAGATTAACAAAAAATACTAATACCCAAAATAAATCCAATATGCCATGCA